AATAGAAAGCCGCATCTTCTTCTCATGGAGTGGCTGGTGGTTTCAAACTGTTGACCTTCCTGTTATCGACCCAATGTGTAGCCCACTCCCCCACCAGGGCTCCTTCCACCCGAACCAGTTGATTCCAACTCATGCACCCACAGATGTACAGAGATCTGTGTGCTGGAGGGCTTTCCTACTGGGCGTAGATCCCCAGGCCTTTGTGCTGAGGGGCCTCTGGGTGGGTTCGTTCAGGCCTTTCCCCTTTGTGGCCCTCTGCGATTTCTTAGTGCTGTTCTCAAGTTCAGGGTCTGGGGGTTGCTTTTCTTTCATTATACAACTCTAGAGGGGTGGGACTTAATCTCCACATTGGTCTATACTGCTAATATGGTGCTTATTTATTTTTAAAAATCAAGCCGGCACATTTTTAACTCAGGTGTAAACTATTCCCAACACGTAAGGAAACGCTCCTCAGCTATGAGAGACCCCTGGGAAGGAGAAGAGTCACTGACTTCCAAAATACCTGCACGCTGGGCTTCTAAGCTCCATTTTGCTTTTCTGAATTTCTGTTGATCTTCACACTTGTAAGAAAGTATTCGTCTGTGTATCGCGATCGTATCTACTAAACAGCCTGGTGGCACCGTGGTTAACTAGTGGCCGCTAACTGATGGTCGGTGGTGTTAACCCCCCAGAAGATCTGGGAAAGGAAAGGTCCTGATCAGGCCCCGTGGTGATTAGCGCCTCGGCAGTCCTACGGGGCAGTTCAACGCTGACACCGAGAATCCCGCAGGAGTCAGAAGGAACCTGATAGCAGAGAGCACGACCCTGTCTACTGCGTTCAAACTTGGGAAAAAGAAATGTCTCCCTTTATAATGTTCCGCCTGCTATCATTGGTATGTCTCAAACGACGTTTTAAAGCAGCTATAATCCGGGCACTGCAAAGACCTGGTCTCATTCGCACCAGACCGTTCCAAATCTGTTTCTACAGACCCACCCTTGTTTGGGGGTGGGGTGGGGGTGGGGAGGTGGGTACTGAGTCCTACGACCAACCAGTGGGTCTCTAAGCCCTAACGTCCACGTGTCAGGGTTATCGCTTCTCTTTTGGACACCAGTCGACAAGTGGTGAACAAGGGTCCCTTTGCCATCACAGCTAAAGCACCCTCCAATCAAAAATGCGAGCTCTGTCTGCCATCAGCTTTGCCAGCAGCGTTCAGTCCCTGTCCTGGAGTGCGGCCGAGCTCCGGCTTGCTTCCATGCCCAATTTCCCTGACCCCGGCTCTAATCCTGGATGCCCAGCGCATTAGCGGGATGAGGACTCCTAGTCTTTATCTTCAGACTCTTACCCTCAACAAACCCCTTTGGGCAGCACACAGACGACTTAGCCAGTGCTAATTCTGTCTCAACTCGTTAGGGCAGTCAAAGGAAGACATGAACTTCATGACCAAAGCACTTGCCAGATCAGCAGATCTTCGCTGAGTGCTGGCCTTATGCACAGTGTCCAGGTGCCCATTTAATTATGCGTCCGTCGCCCGTTGGCAATACTGAGGCGGTTCCCGGCAGGCAGCGCAATTGAGTCTGGTGAATTGACTTGGCAGTTAGTTATAGAGAGAATGCTGGCCAGGTGTATGATGCGCATAGTCTAAGACTAAGCCCATTACAATGTGCTAGGTTTTCCAGCCCTGCTAGTCGATCCCGACTGCTAGGGACCGCGTGTGGGCCTGGAAAGAACTGTGTTTCGTTGTGTGGTATTTGAAAAATAGGACCCCCATCTGAGCTGAGCAAGGACACTGTTTGAAAGGCACATCGGTAGAGGTCAGCTTTCACAATTCTTCTGAGGACATTCTATATGAACCTGACATCGAATCAGAGGGAAGTCCTGTCAAACCGAACTCAAACTCCCTGCAGGCAGGTGGAGTCTGACTCAAAGTGACCCCACAGGGTCAAGGCTGTGAATCTTTACAGGGCTGGGATGCCTTGCCTTTCTCCTGCCGAGGGGCTGGTGATTTTTTTTTTTTTAACATTTTATTAGGGGCTCATACAACTGTTATCCCAATCCAT